CCAATTTTGTATACCTCCCTTATCAGACACACCCAATTTAGTTCTTGCAGTCTCCACTAACAAGATGAGTTGAATCAGGTGTGTTAGATGACGGAGACATACAAAATGTGCCGGGCAGGTTGTCCGCCAGGACAGGTTTGAAAACTCCTGCTGTAGTGTTACTGTAATATTGTGTTCTATGCTTTACATTTGCTACTTAAGTGTTCATCTGATTATTGTCTTTAGAATTTAAAAGTTAATAATCTTTCAGCAATAGTAGTCAATAACCGGGAGCTTATGACAATTTTGATTGATGACTTTGATCTTTGACCCATAATTATATCCATAGGTGATAAGGAATGTTTTTGAAGATTTTATGGAGCATTCCCACATCCGGACTCGTGTGCGGACTCATCTGGGGACTGCATGTCCGTGGTATCAGGTTGCTGTGTGTTATGCTCGCTCTCTCTCTCTCTCTCTCTCTCTCTCTCTCTATGGGAGCTGTGATTAAAAACAAGCATTGATGAACAATAAATAAACAATTTTAACAGATTGCGAGATCGTATGAGTGTGTACTCTTACAATATAATACTGAATAAAAAAGTTTCTCAGCATATTAATGAACTGAAAATAAAAAAATATAAAATACCCTTACATTTTTCAGGGAGAGAAAGTCTTCCTCGTGCAAGCATCGGTATTCTTCAAATGAAATGTTTCCCAAAATTGTGCTTGGTTTAAAATGAAAGAAGAAATCTTTCTTTGAGATCGCTCTCTGCCTGTATGCTCACGGCTGTGTGTGTGTGTGTGTGTGTGTGTGTGGGTGTGTGTGTCGCGCCCCACTGATCCTGTCATTTCGCCCCCGCTGTGAATTCTGAAAGGGTGGGGGTGCGTCGCTGAAAACAGATCTGCTTGAAAAAACAAAAAGCTATCCTCTATTTTTTTAGATGTTTATCCAGATGGACCCCAAGGGTCATACCTTTTGCCACTCAGCGATCTATCTCCTTTTAAGATGGTTATGTAAATGTGTAGTTAATCTAGCGTGACAATGAAAAATATTGTCTTCCGTCACGGCTGTAATGAAGGGATTCCGAAAACTATTTTCACATATGGTACGAGTTCAAAAGACCACAAAAAAACACATTAATGTGTTTTCACATATGGTAGAGACAAGAGCAAATATTTCTCATTAGTCATGGGTCTATATTTCTCTGATAGTTTCTCTGTCGTTAGTTAAAAACGATAGCAAATTTTGAGACTTTTATACTGTGCGATTAAGTATCACTGTTGATGTTACAAATCAGGATGCCCCGTGTTTTCACATCCGCAGTGTGAGGAGATATACCATAGAGCTTGGATGCCCTCTGGTGGTTATTTATAAAATTACAACCTTCGTGAGAATTACCCAATTTAATATCGAATAATATACTTAAAACATTCAATATTAAAACAAATATTCATTATTTTGTAAGGTATTCTCGTTACATTTAATATGTTATCTTTATCCTTAAAATCTAAAAATTTCTCAGGTCAATATTTATAAGAGTTGTTTATGGCTATACCTTAAGGCGGGATCTCCGTGATGTAATAAAACTCCTCCTACCCACCTGGGTTTTAAAATGTAGCGCGTGATCTTTGTCAGATATCAGTTCCTCTTGGTTTTGAACAATATCCTTTTTTTTCTGCAATCAATATGGAATGCCGAGGTAAGTGGAATTATATCTTTGAAAAACATTCTGTTTTTAAAGTCTAGGCAAGGTAAAGAGACGTTTTTTCAACAGCTCTCTATTTTAATAGATGTAATCTTATAGGCTATACGGAGAAAGACGCTTTTAGCCAGATTGATAAGTGTAAGCCTCTTTCTCTTATCTGATGTTTATACGTAAATTATTTTAGAGCAGAAAATGATTTATTTTTAAAAATAAATTTAATTGTTTTTATTGGTAGTGACCGCACAGCTGACTGATGAACAAGAAGGTAAAAGTGATCGTTTTTATATTTTAAAAACTAAACTTTTCTTTGGTATTCCTTTATTGTCTTGCTTTAATTCATTACAACAGAAAATGATTTTGTCTTTATTTCGAGCAGATGTGCGGCTGATCTACGAACAGGACTCCCAAGATGGTGGTGTAAATGTTTTATACTTTTAAAATTAAACTACTGCTCTGTGGATACTGAGGATTTTAATAATTACAACATAAATTATTTTATCTTTATTTTTTTCTAGATCTGATCCAGTTAATAACACATCCCAATTTTATTGATTTAACACAAGAATGCAATAAAAGTGATGAACAGGCCGGCCCGAGTGTGTCTAACAAAGACTGGGAAAGAGATGTCAGAGCTGGTCCAAGCAGCGCTAACAATACCCGAAATCCTGCACAAAGTCCCTTGAGGAAGAAAAGAGCTATAGCTCAGGTGATTCCGGCTCCGAGAGAAGAATCACACAATAGTAAGCTTTTTATTTGTAATATTTTTATAGCATTGGGGCCACATGCATTGCTATTGCAATTTTTGTTCTGATTTATCTAGCAATAATCTCATTAGGTCACATGCTTTAGCTGGTAAAGATACTTTGTCGACATCTGGTGGCACATTCTTCCTATTGCAATTTTTGTTCTGATTTATCTAGCAATAATCTCATTAGGTCACATGCTTTAGCTGGTAAAGATGCTTTGTCGACATCTGGTGGCGCATTCTTGCTATTGCAATTTTTGTTCTGATTTATCTAGCAATAATCTCATTAGGTCACATGCTTTAGCTGGTAAAGATGCTTTGTCGACATCTGGTGGCGCATTCTTGCTATTGCAATTTTTGTTCTGATTTATCTAGCAATAATCTCATTAGGTCACATGCTTTAGCTGGTAAAGATGCTTTGTCGACATCTGGTGGCGCATTCTTGCTATTGCAATTTTTGTTCTGATTTATCTAGCAATAATCTGCTTTAACTAATTCTTAAATTTCACTATTGATATGTTTTACATAAACTAATTAGTTAGGTCTGATTTATCTAGCAATAATCTCATTAGCTAATTTCCCCTTTATTATTTTCTAGATTCCAATTTAGATTTACTAATTATTTAATATTCATGTGGTTTTTAAAAGTCTTGACAATGTTTAATATTCATGTGGTTTTTAAAAGTCTTGACAATGTTTAATATTCATGTGGTTTTTAAAAGTCTTGACAATGTTTAATATTCATGTGGTTTTTAAAAGTCTTGACAATGTTTAATATTCATGTGGTTTTTAAAGTCTTGACAATGTTTAACCTCTGTATTCTATACAGATAGATCATCAGAGCCTGACCGAACCGATGATACCGAACCTGAGATAATTCAAGGTATGCTTTTCATATTTATTTTTAGATTATAATTTTTCATACTTTTATTATTTAACAAAGTAAATCTTTAAAGCAGTGATAGATATTATATTCAAACAGTTATTTTAAAAATGAATAGATTTGTTGTGATTTTCATATACTAATTATTTAAATTATTATTATTTTCAGACAGATCACCCCACATTGCGGACAATGCTGCTAACTGGACTGATACACAAATAAATGACTGGGAAAGAGCCAGTTGGAGAAATGATCACAGTGGCAATTCGTCGCAGAGGGGTGGGGAAACACCAACAGCTGGTGACGATGCATCCGAGGAGGAAACTGAATCACAGCCAGAGCAGAACAATAGTGTAGACAAGAGAATTGACTCTTTGCTCCATGAGCTGGTTGACAGGCAAGATTCTCTATTCGGCGAACTGCTTAACAGACAAACGGATTTCTTTACTGACTTTAATAACCGCATGGATACCAGGTTTCATGAGCTTCAAGGTAATTTACAGCAAGCAATAGAGATTCGCCTGCGTGACTTGCAAACACAGATGATTGAAAATTTCACATCAGTTCACGAAGCTTTACAAACACAACTGAGAGAGAGAACACTGATTGTAACACAGCTATGCGCGATTAATGGTTGTCTACAACATCGATAGATAATGCTTTTATAACCAATATAATTTTTGGTCTGATGACAATCTAAATGCTTTTTTATTTTTGAATCTATCCAACTGTATACTGTAATTTCTTCTATATTTGCATGTGTTTGTATCCCAAATATTTTGTAATCATTCTATATCTGATGTGATTTACAACCCTGATTGTCGTGTGCTTTTAAGCGATTGAATGCTTTTTTATTTTTGAATGTATCCGACTCTTTACTTTGTAATTTCTTCTATATTTGCGTTTGTTTCTGTCCGAGTAATCTATAATCAATCTACATCTGATGTAATTTACAACTCTGATCGTATCGTTACAGCATTGTGTATACTTCTGTTGTCATTGTTTTGTATTAGGCAGCCATCTTGTTTGTAGTCATTTTTTGTATGCATCCATTTTTATTTGTAGTCTTGCTGTATGAAGCGGCCATTTTGTATTAGGCAGCCATCTTGTTTGTAGACTTTTTTGTATGCATCCATTTTGATTTGTAGTCTTGCTGTATGCTGCCATTTTTGATTTCTAGTCTTGAGGTATG